TGTTTCCATAGATGGTGTATGAATGAAGCTCATGCGTGCAACATTGGTATTAGTTCTTCAGTTCCAGGTATAGTGCGTGGAAATTAAATTTTGTTTCCACTTGCTTTCAGCATCTTCATTTAAATGTTTGATGTATCTGATGAATTAGCACACTCTTTATGTCATAATCTACCACCAAATATTATGTTATAGTTGAGAAAATGAACGAAGATGCTTTTCTTTAGCTTAAGTTGAAGGATAGAAATAGAATATGGAATACATTCCTTTTCACCCAACTGTGAGCATGGTATGTACTTAGGCTTTGTTTGCAACCACTTAAGAAAAGTGATTTTGACTTTTTTTTTTAAGAAAAAAAGCACTTATTTTACAAAACATTACCAACTTTTACTTTCTTGGCTTCCGTGTAGAATCTCTTTTTTACTTTTTCTATTACACAAAAAGCACTTATTTTACCAAACACTACCAACTTTTACTACTAATCACTTTTTATCAAAAAGTGCTTTTATTTAAGCACAAGTGGTTGCAAACAAAGCCTTACTTGTTCTGGACAGTAAACTCAGTTAAATTACTTTATTTCTAAATTCTAATGGAATAGGTATTGGGAGTTGGGACCCTCCAGAGAACTCCGTTGAAGGACTTTACTTTTTCATACTTGTGTTTGATGGAAAGTATGATTCTACCTATCATTGCTAGACATTTGTATTTTAATTCTTTTGTTTGCTTCCATTCCATAGGTCATCCCTATGTCTGAATTACATCACCCTTTTTTTATCTAACTATCTTGACTTGTGAGATAAACTTAATAACTAATTCATTTTTTGTCAATAAATTTTGTTAAAGCAGATTTCAGAATTTTCGGTTTGGTGCTATCAAACCCAAAGACTTGAATTCTTCAATCCAGGACCCTCAGTATATTCTATCACTACCCACCAAGGACCTTGAAGATAAAAACTACATAGCATCAATTTAGGGCCCTAGTTATTGAAAACTACCAATCTAAGACGTAACATATCTTTATTTTTTATTTTATATACTTTAAGTAATTTTAGTATCAATTAATAATTATATATATATATATATATATATATTCCATGAAGGAAATTCGTTGAAATTTTACATAAATCAAAATTCATGATAGCTCAAGTTTAGATTGATAGGTTTCAATCATTCAAGCCCTAAATTGATAGTCTTATTCTTTCGGGTCCTTCATAATGAAACCAAAATTCATGATAGTTCAAGTTTAGATTAACAGGTTTTAATCATTCAAGCCCTTAATTGGTAGTCTTATTCTTTCAGGTACTTCATTGATAGATAATGTATCTTTCAGGTACTTCATTGATAGATAATGTATCTTTCAGGTACTTCATTGATTGAAAAAACTCCGAAAGAGGTTTTAACTTACAACTTTTTTATTTGTGTAACCAAATCGACATACAACCTTTTACTAGTTATAAATGGTCACATGCACTAATAAAACTTATTTCCCAGATGGTAATTGATTAAAATCGCTTAATGCATAGGTTTACAGAAATTTCACATAAAATTTAAGTCAAATTCTAAAGCTAGTCTCTTTTATTGGGCCATTTTTTGAGTAAATTCCCTAAAAGGACTAAAATAATGATAAAGTTAATAAATAGGATTATCATTATTGTATTCCAAACATAGGACTCATTCACTCCTAGTTTGGGAAATTTTACTCAATCTATTCTTTTAATAGGACTAAATGAGTCCTATTTGGGGAATAAAACATGCATAGTCTTGTTTTTGCACTTCGGAATTCATTTAGTCCTATATTGAGCAATTTCTAAAAAGTTTATGAAACCAGACTTTTTTGGGGACGGAGGGAGTATAAATTTCTTTGAGAGAATACAGTGCTGCATGTTTTATACTCCGTATTATAATCATGTTAAACTGCTTTAGAAGGATTATCTCTTCATTTTGACTCTATCAATTTGGTAAATGTGTCAAATTCCATGCATACTTTATTTTTATAGGTTTTCCACAAATGCAAAGAGCTAAGAGCATATTAATGTGGTTTGTGTTGAATATAAAAAATTATTGTAAACAACTATTGCAGAATAAATTTTAATACCCAGCGATAGAGGTCTTCATACAGTCACTAATACTACAAGTTGAAACCTAATATACTCATCATGTCAAGGACATAATTCAGTTTTTATTCAAGGAATTATTCTTGGTCTATTGATATCTAAAGAATCATGTGGAGATTAGTTTGATCTTACGATTTTCTTCTTACTTCAGTATTCAATTTGCTATGAGATGAAAAACTCATTAGATTTGAACAAAATAAAGGCCTTAGTTCCATTTGAACTTTTTTTCTGAACACAAACTGATTATGATATCTCATGAATATTTTTTGCAGTTTGGAGGAATCAATTGCTGCCTTTAGGGGAAGTGTAGGAACATAATTCTCCAACCGTTCTGTTGACATGTGGATAGGAGTGAACTGCAGGTGAGGAATGATACAATGAGCACCAAGTTTTGTTAAAGTCAATTAAATTGCGTTAGAGAATAGATATAACTTTTTGACTGTTTTCCTTTTGTGAAAGCTAAAACGTACTCCGTATTTTCCTGAAGTCATAAAGCTCTTGATGGTTTCTTCAAGATTTTTAGCCTGTTTTATTTTACTATGATTATACTATTTTTGGAATAAACTTGTATAGTCATCACTTTAGCCTATTTTATCTGCTTCCTTATTTAGACAGCAGATTGAAGTACATAAGTTATCCTTTCTTGGGGTCCGTACGGTTTGTAGAATAGTAGTTAGCTTTTACGTATTAGAGTAGTACTATTCTCTTCTATCTTCTCATTTTTTCACACCGGTCAATCATTAGCAGCCACAGATGTACACCCAGGATTGGTTGGCACTTGGCATTGGAATGATATTCCTTGTAGGAGAAGAAGAATAAATTGAAGGAGAGACAGAGAAGAAAAGTAGAAATTCTGGGGAATGGAATGTAAGCATCTGAACTCAAAATTAAAGCTATGGGTGGTATTGTCAAGTCAAGAATTTTCGTTATTCTTTCCTCTTTGAGGCCATGAAAAATGGATTCCTCCCTTTAATTTTGCTTCTCAACATGAATATAATGAAATGCTTATTCCTTTGTTATCAATTTATTTCTTATTCTTCATTTTTCTCTGTGCTTACAGCTAATAAATACCCTCTGTAATTTTAGAATTAAAGAAAAAAATCTAATTCTTGCTAAACATATTTTGGTAACTAGTGTTAGTGTATGACTTGACATTGATTGTTCTTATGTCTGTCATGATGCCCATGTATATAATTGTGTAGGGCTAAAATAATGAGACCAAATTAGCTGCCACAAGAATTATGGAGTTCAAAAGTTCTCTAGTTTTTTATCCGGCGGGTACAACCGTACAAAACATGTACCTCACCCATTCACAACCCTATTAGTAGTGGTGGACTCGGGTCGGGCCATCCGGTCCGTGGACCGCCCTGGCCCGCCACTGTGCGGGACCGGCCCGGTTCTCGGGTCCGGGTCGGGCCTAGGCTCAGGGGGAGGGCAGGTCCGGGCTCGGGTCTCACATTTGGCGAACCGGCCGGGTCGGGCCCGGGTCCGGGCCAAATTTTGGGGTTCCACCCGGGTTGGGCTTGATGGTTAGGAGGGGTTTGCGCCTTGGGGGGTGGGAGTGAGGGGGGGGGTTAGGAAAGCAAAAAAAATACCCAAATCGGAGGCCCGGCCTGGACCCGGTGGTTACCCGGCCCGGACCCGGTGGCTACCCGGGCCGGTCCCAGGTCCGCCAATTCTGAACCGCTGGCCCGCCCGGGCCTAGGCCTGACCCGGACTTGGCCCGGCCCGGGTCCATCACTACCTATTAGGTATTAGGTAATACTACCTCTCTGTAAAAGGGATATCAAGGATTATGCTTGTCACGGCCGTAGCCGTAAGTCGAGTCGCGCCGCCAGCTGACCGCCATATTGCCTAGGTGATAAGGTGACCGCCTCCGCCTTGACAATGTTTGAAATATCCTGGCATTTTTTATTGTGGCAATGTTTATTATGACAATGTTTGACATTGTAACAAATTTTCCTACATTTTAGCAATATTTCCAATACAGTGACATTGTTTATTTTTGACAATGTTTATCATGAAAATGTATTCTAAATAGTGATGATATTTAAAATATTAACATATTCTTAACAATTTAATTTAATGAAATTTAATGTCATCTTCAATCAAGGTTGACTAAATACACTACTACGTACAAAATACAAATTTGACCGGACACTATAAATTAAACGCAATAGTAATAAAAAATGATTCCTGAAGCTTCTATTCCTGAAATAATAAAAAAACAGAGCCAAGGTCTCTTTCGCCCAGCGGCCAACGGCGGTTTTTAGAGATGGGGGTTAAGGCATTTGTTATGGAGCTCAGCGGTGACACCGTATTTGTCCATGTGACCATGTCGACATAGCTCTTGCTAATTGAAGCAATTGCGAGCGTGTCAAACTCCGGCTTCATCCACTGCACTACGACGGCGATTTGTGGCCTGGCGGCGGCGGCAACGTGCGGCGCAGTAGCGAGTTACTCAAGCAGTGGCGGCGAGGTGTGGTGGAATCGGAAACAAACGTCCAAGTTTCATAAAGTTTACTAATACATTTAAGAAGCTGCACCAACTAATGAAATATATATGAAAATGTTTGTAAGTTTTGGACTCCGGTCAAATTGTAGGTCCACTTGTTCTTGACAAAATGGTTTTTTTCCAAACTAGTCTCAAATCTTATGAGTCTTTAAACTTGATTTGATTAATGTTGGACAGTTGCAGATACATTCAACCGGTTGTCATCATCGACGTGTCTGGTTGGGGTAGCCTACTTATAATTTTTAGATCAAGAGTTTATGGTATTCAATACTTTTCACCAAATAACCTATTTGAATACAGTGCAAGGTTGTACATAACAAAGATCAGTTCTGAATGAGCCATATATCAGTTCCTCTATAACATGAAGGAAGAAACAAAGATGCAATAATCCCATTGTTCTGAGTCTTCTGACATTATATACACTAAAAAGTACGAACGAAATCCTCTCAAAATAAGTTTCTAACAGATAAATATAATCTGGACAGACGTGTGATAATATAAGTTAGCCTAAGAAATACAAATCCATAGAGCAGAGCAACAAAACTTGCTCTTTTCTAAGAAAGAATCCAGTACTTTTAAATTAAACAAATCCAAATTGCTACTAACTTGTATGATAATTAGTTAATTAAATAATTAATTAACAACAAATGGGACATTGAATCAAACCATTCTCATTACACTCCCCACACTTGACACTGCTTTTCCCATCATCTCCCAACACCTTACAGCTGCCACTGCATTCCCAGCAGCACAAGAACCTCACACCTCCGCAACCGCCACAACCGCCTGTGGCGGCCCTCGGGATCCCGGCGAGTAAAGTTCCCAATGTGCCCTCCTCCTCCAGCCTGGAAATCTCATCCGCCCCACCGATCAACCTCCCCTTCACAAAAACTAAGGGCACCTTCACCTCAGTTGTCCCCATCAGTGATCTCAGCTCCTCCTTGAACCCGGAATGCATCGACACGTCCCGTTCTAATGTCCGAACCTGATGGGACTGGAGGATGGATCTGGCCGTGTTGCAATCCTCAAATGTCTTTCTGATGCCTCTTAGTGTGGTGGTGTAAACAACCACAGCATCTCCCCCGCCCGGCGGGCAAATCTTCGGGAACTTTTGGATGACTTTGTCTACTTCAATGGAAGCTTTTGTTGAAACAGAGGATTTCTGTTTCCACTGTTCTGCCTCTTCTGTTGATAATCCCGCAGCTGCAAACAAGCTCCTCACTGCTGGTGGTGTTGGGGTTAGTGCTGCCCGCGGTGGGATTGGGGAAGAATCTGGACTATTTCCCTTGTGGGAAATTCTCTCATTATCATACAATTTGTTGTACATTTTCTGAGGCATTGTCGTTTTCGGGCTGGGCACTGTTATTTTCCCGCTGAGTTTTCCTGGAGAAGCGGCAGGAACGCCATTGTTCTCCTTTCCGGCTCCTCCAAATATTCTGAACCTCCTTGGAGATAAAACGCTCTTTTGATTGAAGAGTTTCAAAGGGCTTCTTCTGTAATCGAGAAAAACTCGGGATTTGGGGCTTTTCCTGGATTTAATAGAACAGGGGGCCTCTGTTTCATCAAGATCCTCCATGAGCTCCCAAGCATTGATCACCTCCGCTTGATCCCCCTTCTGCGGCGGAGAAGGGGATTTCTTCATCTCGACCGAAACGCATTTCTTGATGCACTGCGGCGGCTCCGGCGGCGGCTGATCAGCAGCTCCGTCGTCGAGCTGGAGGAGACCATAGGTGCTTGAAGTGAGGGAGACGACATGGGTGGAACTGATTTCGAACTGGCGTTCTCGTTTGAGTTCCTTTCTGGCGATCTTGGAGGATACGCAGCCCATCTGGGTTTAAGTTGACTTGTCTGTACAGAGTGGAAACTATGTAAGGAAGGAGAGAAAGAAGGGTAACGGAATGCCAACGGTTACCCTCCAACGGTAACATTATTTGAAAAGTTGGGGTGAAGCATTTTCTTCCAACTCCATATGATTTTACACTTGGTAAATTGGATGATAATTTTTTTTAATTCAACCATTCCAAAAAGTCATGGCATTCACTAATGCTGTCTGTATACATGTTATAGTGCCACTTATAGGGAGAGTAACGTACTTATCATGTCATTATTTAATCGTTTGTTTATACTTTATATACAAAAAATACTCCGTATAACGTACTTGTTCGCGAACTCTGCAACCATGTGATTGCTCATGTGACTTGAAAAGATCCGGTTTGACCAACCATCGAAAAAGAATTATGTAGTATTCAACATTTCAGTTTTGTCAGCTACTGATAAGTAGCCAAGTGCACAAATTGTTCTGATTTCACTAGGTATCGGAAAGAAAACAGTTCATCCAATTTCATCTTCTTGAATCGGCGATGGTTCAGGAGGGGGGTGATCGGCGTTTATGATGCAAAAAAAATCAAGATTCATGATTGAAAATACCAATTAAATGAATCTTTTTTCATGATTAAAGCCCAAAGAAATGACATTACTTTTTTTTATTTCTTCATTTTATATATTGAAAAGTATACACAGTATTTGGAAGAGGTGAATTTCTTAAGAATACAAATAATGTGAAATTAAAAATATGGGCACTATATTTTCCTCTGAAAGGAGTTGGTTACTTTCATTCTGAAAACGTAATACCATATTTATGATATTTTTGTTTTACATGAGTACATGGCCATATTAATGATATAATTGGTGAGTTTTTTCAAGCATGATTATTTCTATTTATAAAAGAAATGCTAGTACACTAGTACTAAATGTGCAATTTCATACTGTTTTTACTCTTATTTAAAATAATTTCTCATTTCATGTGCACACCAACATAGAATTAGCTTTAGTTTTCATTTAATTGATTTGACTTCATTTTGGTTTTTAATTTTGTCAACGTGCTAAACTGTTTCCATTGATTCTTTCAGATTTTTCCGCATTTTCTTTTGGTGGTTAATTACTGGGAAAGCTGTCAAATAGGTCCTCGAACTTTCATAAAAAGGTCAATTAAATCCTTCTATAAGAGGTTTTGTCCGGCCGTCGCGATTTGGGGCAGCTCCCGGTGGAATTTTTTGATGAAATTTTTTGAGCATCTTATTCATCAAGTCTAGTTTACTCATACCAAATTTCAGCTAAAAATTCAATCGGGAACACATTCAAATTAATTCTTGAAGATAACTGCTCATTTTGCTTTCTCGAATTAATTTGAATGCGCTCTCAATTACATTTTTAGCTGAAATTTGGTATGAGTAAACTAGACTTGATGAATAAGATGCTCAAAAAATTTCATCAAAAAATTGCACCGGGAACCGCCCCAAATCGCGACGACCGGACAGAGTCTCCTATAGAAGGACTTAATTGACTTTTTTATGAAAGTTCGAGGACCTATTTGACAGTTTTCCCTTAATTATTGGATTGATATTTATAGAATTATAACATGCGTACTTTGTGAGTTGTGTACACTTTTTATGTGTCCACAATTTGGAGTGCAGAAGTAAAGTCATGCTAGTTCAAAATAGGATAATAAACCTATATAGGTCTCATCACTTTGTTGATATATATGATGTTGTGGAGAAATTCAGGAGACATTGATTCAATGAACTATTGCTTATTTGAGAGTCTCGTTCTTCTGCGGGAGATTATTTAATATTTATAGAGATAATTCATGTTTGTAAGATTTGCTTTATATGAAGAAATTGTTCAAAATAGGAATATAATAGAATATGGAAAATGTTTTAAAATAGGGCTAAATGTAGGGAATTTCCACTTCTTTCATGGAAGTTGCCAAGAGGCATCTCACACCTTCTTGGAAGGAGATCTCCAACATATGAACATGGGGAAGATATGGAGATAACTAAGGAAGCTTGGATGCAACTTTCTCTTGTCTCCAAACTAGTCTATAACTAGAGTGTTCTATTGTTGTTCATATCATCAGTTTAGAAAGTGAGAAAAGTGTGTGAAGAGTGAAATACACTTAAAGTAGAAGTGCATTGGTATGGATTGGTTTTTTGTAATAGTTGAGTGTGAGAGTTTGCTCCTCCTATTGTAATTCTGTTCTTGATATTGAATAAAAAAATTTCGAATCCCAACAAGTGGTATCAGAGCGAGGTTGAGTTTCCATACACTGTTTTCTCATTTTTTCAGAAAAATTTCTACAGGTTAGAAAATCGTAAATTTTGAAGTTGCTCGGAATCACGATCTGATCATACCGTTAGATTTGTCTCGTCGAGACAATAAATCTGGTATTTTTGGGGATTTTTTGGCCATCAGAAAAGTCCGTACGCGCCGCCCAAACGCCGCCTGAAAACTGCATGCGTCATCACTACGTCATCACGCAGTCCAGAGGAAGCAGATGAGACACGCCAGCAAGCAGTCAGCCGCCACGTCATCATCCACGTCATCGCCACGTCGGGCCACGTCATCGCCACGTCGTGCTGATTCATCGTTCGCGTCATCACGTAATCCGTCCGCCGGGTGCCACGTCAGCTGCCACGTGGCGCCATGGCAGCACTAGCGCCAAACCAGCTGTTGCCACGTCATCAGCCTGCTGGCCTGCCCACTGGGCTGCTGCCTGAACCGGATTGAACCGGTTCGTAGTTGTGGAGGCCGGTTCACCCATTTCCAGACCGGTTTTGGACGAGGCCAGACCGGTTCCTACTATTTTTGGTCATTCCGGATCCAACGGTGAGCTCTATTTGTCCAAATTCGGCTTCGAAAATAAGGTACGAGATATATTGAGCGTTTTATTGTGGATAAATCATCATCGGACACCATGATTACGCTCACTTTCACAAATTACAATATGTGCAAACCACGGATGGAGGATTTGCCAAACTTGAGGGATTTAGCCGATCCTCTTGATAATAATGGCGTGAAACCGGATAAAAAGACGGATGAAGAATGGATAAAAATGAATCGAAAAACTGTCGTACAAATTCGATAGTGGATAGATCATAGTGTGTTCCATCATGTTGCTCAAGAACAGAGTGCTTACACACTATGGCAAAAGCTTGGTAGCATGTATCAAGCAAAAACAGCCCGGAATAAGACGTTTCTAATGAGGCGATTAGTAAACCACAAGCTACGAGGTGGTATTTCGGTTTCAGAACACATCAGTCAATTCCAGGATCTTGTGAATCAGTTGAGCACCACCGGATGGGTTCTCAAAGATGAAGAGCAGGCGATACTACTCTTGAGCTCTCTATTTGACAGCTTGGAGGTGACAATGCAGATGGTCACAGATGAGCTGATGAATGAAGAAGCCCGAAGGAAGGAAGCCGGGACTGAACAATCGTACGTCTTCGTGTCAGAAACTAACAGACGAGGGGGAGGCAGAAATGGAGGAAGAAACCGAGGTCCAGGTAGAGGTCAAGGTCAAAATAGAGGTAATTCTCAAGTTTGCGGCCGATCACAAGAACGAGGTATGTCCTATGAAAACAATAATTGGTTTGAAGGATATTGCAATTATTGTGGTAATTATGGACACAGAAAAAGAGATTGTAGAAAGTTTCTACGAGAGCAGCCACAGACGAGTCAAAATACTAGACAAGAAGATGGTGAGATCATGGTTAGTTTGTCATCAGACGTGTGTCTTGTTACACATGGTGAACAAGAATGTTTACACATAGGTACTCATGATGTTGAGTGGGTGATTGATACAGCCGCATCATTTCACGCCACTCCACACCAGAACTTATTCACGTCTTATAAGTCTGGAGACTTTGGAGCTGTGAAGATGGCAAACAACAGTTTCTCGAAGATTGTTGGCATTGGTGATGTGCACATAACAACCAATGTCGGATGTGCACTTGTGTTGAAAGATGTTCAACACATTCCGGATCTTAGATTGAATCTTATCTCCGGTACAGCTTTGGATCAGCAAGGATATCTTAACTGATTAAAAGAAGGTACATGGAAGTTATCTAAAGGTTCCTTGGTTGTTGCAAGAGGCCATATTTGTGGTACTTTGTATAAAACTCGTGCAAAGTTGTGTCATCCGAGTCTCAATGCTGTTGAAGAAGAGACATCACCAAACTTGTGGCACCGGAGGCTAGGCCACTTGAGCGTGAAGGGATTGACAACTCTTGCAAAGAAGGAAGTCATTTCCATGGGCAAAGGTGTTGCCCTAGATCCATGTGAGCACTGTCTATTTGGGAAACAACACAATTTGGGAAACAACACAGTGTTTCCTTCAGTTCTACCAAGAAGAACCATACAGAGTTACCCAGTCTTGTCCACTCTGATGTATGTGGACCCATTGAAGAGGAGTCACTTGGAGGAAGCAGATATTTCGTGACATTCATTGATGATGCATCACGAAAGTTCAGACAATGGAGGAGAGTACACTTCTCGAGAGTTCTCAGCATATTGCGTTGCGTATGGAATCAGACATGAGAAGACAGTTCCACGAACTCCACAACACAATGGTGTAGCCGAAAGAATGAATCGGACCATTATGGAGAAAGTTCATTGCATGCTGAGTATGGCTAAACTACCTAAGCCATTCTGGGGTGAAGGTGTGCTGACATCATCTTATAAACAGGTCACCTTCTGTTCCTTTAAACTTTGAAGTGCCAGAGAAGAAATGGTCAGGAAGAGATGTTTCTTACTCTCACTTGAAAGTGTTCGGGTGCAAGGCATTTGCACATGTGTCCAAGGAGTTGAGACAGAAGCTTGATCTCAATTCAAACCCATTTATCTTCATCAGCTACGAAGATGAAGAATTCAGATACCGGTTGTGGGATCCCGAAGTGAAGAAAGTTGTACGAAGCAGAGATGTTGTATTTCATTAAAACGAGTTTCATGGGTGTGCTCCAATAATCCGCCAACAACATACTCCAGAAGACAAAGTGCCTGTA